TTTGATTTAAAATTTAAATATTAAGAATAATTAATTTTAACTTTCAAGTGCATTCCTATACTGATTGTTACTATTATAAGTTAAGTATGAGAATATATATAAAAAAAAAAAATTATCATAAAAATTATTTAGAAACAATGTAGAAGAATAACGTTTTTAAAAACGTTAAGCAAAAACAATTTTTCTTAAATCGATTAACAAAAACGAAAACGAAAAAAATTTTCCATCCCTGATTTATTCCAACTAAAATACAAATTAATGTTTGTCATTTGAAATTTAGGTAAGAGTATTTTATTAAAAAAAATTATTTTTCAACTATTTAATTTCTTAATAATGAATCCTACTTATTTATAAGTTAATAATTTATTCTTTTTACTGATAGTGTCTAGATAAAATTGAAATAAATCCTAGTTTCCAAGRGCAAATTTTATTTTATACTAGCTGTCTCGCCGCCTGGCATTGTTTGTGCCAAACATTTGTCGTAGATCYAACTCCAACAATAAGATTTTTTGTGTTATGTAAGGGCACAGTATTTCAAATACCTTGGAGCGTGAGTGAATGAAAATGTAAATAGTCATAAAAACATAAATCAAACATGATTAATTAAAAACGGATACTACTTATCACTGATCACTCCTACCAAATGTTTCAAAACAAAAAGTTCTAGTTAGACCAATAGCATTGTATACATACTAGTGAGAAACCCCTAAAATGGATGAAAAGAATTGGGTGTTTTTAAAATGAAACTTAAGGAAATTGTTAGACCAAAAATACACRAAAAGACAATTTTTAAATTAGGTGAARCAAAGAATCTTTATACTAAGAAACTAGTGTTAAAGAAATCATGAAAAGCAGCATAATAAGATGGGAGGTTTAAGGAAATACTGGGCAAAACAACAAGGTAGAGACTACTTAAAACGACCCTGAAAACATGGGTTGGATAGATTAAAGRAAGATCTCAGGATGTTGTGGTTGTAGAATTCAGAAGAAATTTCGAATTTATATGAAAAATATAATATTAGTTACTTTGTAATTTCCTAGATTTTTCCTGGCAAATATTATTGGCCTAATTTTTAACAAATTAGGAAAAMCTAGGAAATATATACGAACACAACTAAGCTTAGTACTTCAGATGTCTAAGGTGTCTGGCGTTAAAACAGAAACAATATACATAGATAACTAGGTATAGAATGTTCCAGAAAATTAAAATGGACCCCTCTCAAGGTATATGAAGTATTGTGTATAAATTGAACATTTGATACAATATCAGTATAAACTTAATTATAAGCACAGAAAAACCTACAACAATCTTCAAACTTGTTATTGCTTAATTGTCTTTCTCACCAAAAAAGTGTTAATTTGAAAAGCAATTTAATGAAAACTTTTTTCAATTTTACCTGATAGGTAGTATTTTATTTAATATTCTTATTAACTGTGGTGGTTTTTAAATTCCTACCTTCAACATTTCCTGAAATAGTGTCAATGAGTTATTTTATATTTAAATAACTATGATAAAAAATAATAAACAGCAATCATATACTACTAGGTACCACTCTAGGTATGWATAAAAAATATAAAAATTAAGAGTAGGAATTGTTATCATTAAACAATAAAGAGCTATCAATATTTATTTGGCACRAACATCTTAGTAGTTAAAAAACCATATTGATTTGTAAAAACTTACAGTTCCTGGATTTGTGAGATTGCGTGTATCAGACAACCAACTACTCAAATGATTATAAGAAGAACGTCTGGTTATGTCATATACCATCAATGCACCAGCAGCTCCACGGTAGTATGATCTAAACAACAATGACATTGTTATCACAGTACAAAGTTGTGTATTTTGTATAAAAGTCTGAACCTTGTTACTGCTCGGAAACGTTCTTGTCCTGCCGTGTCCCAGATTTGAAGTTTAATTTTTTTTCCAGATACTTCAATGATTCTTGTTCCGAATTCTACACCAATTGTGTGTGGGCAATCAGCAGTAACTGAATATGAACATAAAAATAAAATAAATATGAGTAGTTATCTTAAAAATGCATGGTAGTAGGCATCCAACTTTTGCTGTGAAATTGACACTTACACTTTTGCTCGGTGAATTGGTGCAGTAAACATGATTTACCGACACCCATGTCTCCAACTATGATATACTTGAATATATACGAATACTGTGAAGAAGCCATTTCGGACACAGACACTTTGGTACTCTGCAACAGATCAACAAACCGATCAAACACACAAACAATGGAGGGGAATGGCAATTAAGAGTAYGTGAACTACGAAGGGCTTTTGAGCATCACGACAATTGTGGTGGTGGGGGGAGGTGTACAGTGTCGACGTTTGGATAGTCACTTACATTAACGCGCCTGAACGGGGAACAAACAGCGACAGAAATGTGTTATCTGTACATCCAGATGGATACGGCATGTCGAGGTAGACGACCAAAAGAGGCGACGTAAGGCGGGCTGGTGAGCGAGTCATTGAGCTAGTAGGGAGTGGGCAAAGGCGGAGGAGGTGGATAAAATATGGCATATGCTACGCACCGTTTGTTCTTGAACGAAGATGTCGGAAAAAAAACGTACTTCACGGCTGTTCGAGCAAGACAATGCGAATTATTGTGTCTTTTAAATTTAAAAATGTTATTGGGTATGTGCGCGGAAGCACAAACGAGAACACACAATCACGGACGTGCGTGAGAAACAAAGATAACCAACAATTATTAAGCCAGCGGTGGCAACGGTGATAGATCTACATAGGTGGATTATTTTCGTRTAGGCATTCGGTAGAGAATAATAATTAATAATATTGTAAATAATTATGATAGTTATTTTCGTATGGCCCGCGTCAGATCGTGAATAATTTTTAATCTATAGTATAAGCCATAAGGTATACGCAGTTCACAAGTCGTAGGTAGTACCTACGGTATCCGTAATTTTGTGTTATTATATCGATTGCTGTTGTCGTCGAATTCTCGGCCACGCACTAGTATTTACCTATCTTATTACTTATCAGACGCCTCGGTTGGCTGATATTTAATGTTTGTACGTTTATATCTTCAATCTTGTGATATTAATACTGTGAAACAATACGTACGACTGRAACGACGGAGCAGCTGCTGCACTTGCTGCACTGCAGTTGCGAATATCGGGATCGGGAATACTTGATAAGGACGGCGGCGTAAGTACGTCGTACGATTTGGATGGCGAGCGCGGCGAATGATCGACTGATGACGCGACGACGACCGCCCGCAACCCCCCCATCCTCACAGCCCCGCCCGTAACTGTACTCGTCGGACGTGATCGTAGCGGTGCGCGGCGTCGGTCGTTCGTTTAGTTCGTTATCGTTATCCGCTCGTTGCTAGTAATAATAATTGTATTATTGATATTATTATWGTTATTGTTATTGTTATTATTATGATTGTAATTTATAACTTAATTATTATTGATTTTTATTACGTATTTGTGCAATAATAGATAGTAGAAGTAGGTACAATATTTAAATAATAAATATTAAATACCTATTACCTACAGATTTCAATAATGAACAATATTATTAGGTACATACGCCCGCAGTAAACAGGAATGTTTACGATTGTCTTTTTTCTATTTTAGTCCCAAGTCATTAGTGGTGGTCACCAGGCATTTAGCCAGGATTTTATTTTTTATTTTTTTTTGAGGGGGGGGGGGTCGAAATAAATTTTAACAACATTTTTATATAATATGATTGATATTCAAAACCTTTAATTTTTTTTTATAAACTGAAAGATTAAAACTTTTATAATACTTACACTCAATAATGCTCATGTAACAAAATTTAAATAAGTATTCWAAAATTACGCCATGTGATGCCGGGAGCTTTAGTATTAGTAATAGTACCTACCTATAAGAATTCATTAAGGTCAACAGAAGATCGTTTACTTTTAAAAAATTTAARAAACAATATTATACGGCAATATACCTAATTATTTCATGTAATTTATTTGAATAATTTTCATAGTTTTATAGATAAATATATTTATATAATAAATTCAACTTCTGTTTGCCAATGCATAAACAATACCTAAATTGAATTATTAAGTTGAAATACTAAAATGTAGGCCAAAAAACCAAAAAATAATATTCATTCTTAAAATCATATAGCATAATTATGTAAATAACGCTCTAAATATTATTATAAGTGTAATTTAAATTTAAAATAATAACACAGCTAGTTAATCTTTAAAAATTATTCTCAGTAATTTTTAAGTTTCAGATTATATGTAGGTATTAAAGTAACTCGTAAAATAATATTATGTAAAAATTATTATCTATGTTTTTTGTACTAAACTAAAATAAAGTATGAATAAATTGAACGATTCATTGATATTTACCTTCACATACGTCTYCCTACGGTTCGGTTGTATGACACTCATCCACAATCAGCATCTACATTTCTATGTGTTTTATTTTACGTCATCAGTATTTTGTATATTCATAGGTAGGTAGTTTATATAATATATATATATATTTATATAGGATTATAGGATATAGATTTCTGATAGTATCACAACTTGTATTTGTCGATGTTATAATACGTTATATAAATACCTAATGGATCTGATATGGTTAATTTGTAATTTATTTAATAGGTTAATTTTTTTAAAATATTTTTATGTTCATGTATCATGTACCTCTATAAAATATAAGTATACAGAATTCTATAATACACTACTATAGTTTATATCTATAGACATTTAAAAAGTTATAATCCGAAAGAGTTTCTAGGGATGTTCTTATAATAATGGGACTATAATGGTAACATAACAAATGTATCAAAATTTACCAAATTTACGAAAATGTTTCACTAATATATTAAACGTTACGTAATCACTGGCTCTAGTCGTCTAGTCCTTAAGACAGATCTAGTAGGCACCTATATAGAATATAGATATCTAAATAATCTAAAATTCAGTGTCCATTCATAGCATCACCGTACACACCGGTTCCGAAACAGCCCAATTTTTCCAGCATCACTGATGATTTTAGGATAATATTATGATTAATATTAATTTAACTTACGGCTACCGTATTAATGATAAGTAATAACAATATAAATATAATATATCCTAGACTGACAAACTGTCTTCGTTCAGAATTCTTTTTAGWATACAATAARTTATTATGATATTTTATTGCTGAATTCGAATAAAATATCATCTATAATGGATAATATAATTATAATTGTGTATAATTATACATAATAATATAATATTCAATGCCCACTTGTAGTCTACAGTGAAGCAGTGACATTAACATACCTGCTTTTTGTATTATATAATTTTATCTTAAACGCTGCAGCTGTCTAAAAATATAAAGTTATTTAAATTGTAACTACCTATACATATATGATATATCCATTATGAATAATACAACAATCGTAGGTACGTCATTATACTTTTTAATTGTTTGAGTTTTGACGCCGAATTCGAAAACGTTTATTAGATGACAATAGAAAATAGTAAATAAAAAGTCGGTATTAGGTAATAAATAATAATAGTGAGATAACAATAATTATTGTGTTTAATAAAGCGTTCAAAATCAATTTACAAATATTGGTTTTCAAAACACTGTTTTTGGTCATTTTCCAATTGAATTTATGTATACAACTATAATACAATTATATGAKTGAGATTTTATGTTGGTACCTTCTATCAATTTACTATAAGTATAATGTATTTATTTTATTAGCAATTGGCAAAAAAAACTAAAAAGGAAACTCCCTATGCAGAGTATAGTATATCATTGGTCAGTCACTGTAATGAATGTGTTAAATTTTAATTTAATGATAGTATTTCCTATAATATTTTTAATTTTGTTTATATTTATATCACTATAAGTAATTTGTTTTTMTATTAGTACTTACTACTTAGTAGGAACTAGTTGAACTTATTTTTGCAAAAAAATATCAATGGCGATGTTGTAGGCAATGTCGTAGACAGGTTTGAATATTTTTGTGGTATAAATACTAAGTAGYTTGAAATCAGTCTGAAAATTTTTAAAATGACTTTGTGGAYAATCATAATTTAAGTTAAGTGGAATACTGAAATGTTTCAAATTTCTTTGATGAATATTTTTGAATTAATAAAATAACATAAATAATTTAAGGAAGATTTGTTATTTTATGTGTGAATATTGTGAATATTTTATATTTCAATGTCGTAAAAATTTGAAMYTTAGTCATAAAAAAAGAAAAGTGTATAGCCGTGTATGTTAACACTGATATATACAATAAGGAGTTGAGTGTGCCTCATCATTTAGCTAAAATTTAGCCAGCTTGATTATGAATATATTAAATTTACATTTGATGATAATTGAGAACTAAGATTTTAAAGAGAATTAATTGAACTTTATAAAAATGCTTCTAAAAAATAATGATTTTATGTATTTTTGATTTTTTTTTTTAATAAGTAGGTAAATCACAACTTATGAATTATGTATAGTAAGTATAAAAAATGTTGTATTTATTTTTGCMTATTATGAGTTTTTTTATCCGCATGATTTATTTCAAATGTTTCATTTTTTACTACATTATAATATATTGTCGACAGTAGTAGCATGAAATATAATTAATATATAATGAGATGATCCAACGACATAGAGACAAATTTTAAAAGTAATAACAAAGTCTCATATAAAAAAAACGGGTACAAACCAAGAACGACCATCCTAAAAGAACCAAACACATTGATTACAGATAAAATCGAAATAACTGAAAAAATCAGAGGAATGTTTGAGACGATACTACTTAAAACAATACAAACAGAACCTGAAGATAAATATACGATAACAGTAGAACAAATGATACATGAACCAACAACGGAAGAAATAGAAATGGCAATTGAAATTCTAAAAAATGGTAAAGTACCCGGTGAAGATGATATAACAACAGAGTTACTAAGAAAGAGTAAGAAAACTGTGATGAAAAAACTAGAACAAATTATTATAAAAGCATGGAGGGAAGAAGAAATACCAGAAGCCTGGAATTTGTCGATCCTATACCCTATCAACAAAAAAGGGATATTATGAATTGCAAAAATTATAGAGGCATCTCCTTACTAGATACATCATACAAAGTTCTATCAAATGTACTCCTTAATAAACTCAAGTCATATGGAGATGAAATAGTCGGGGAGTACCAAGGAGGCATTAGAAGGGGAAAATCAACGGTGGATCATTCATATATAATAGTTTTTTTATAGTTATTTATAATATACCATTTGTAGATTAAAACAGGCATATGACTCTATTAATCGGGAAAGTGTATCGAAAGCCATGGGAAAGTTTGGGGTACCAGCAAAAATCACAAGAATGACAAGAGAATGTGTTCAATTCTCTAAATGAATGGTCAAATTTAACGGCCAACTATCGAAGGCATTCACGATCAACACAAGACTGAAACAGGGAGATGCACTTTCGCCAATGCTTTTCAACATTGCGTTGGAGGAAGTGGTT